CTCTACCACTAAATTACATCCCAGTCCTATTTTTTTTTTTTTTTTTTTTTTTGGTACTGGGAATCAAAGTCAAGATCTTGCGCTTGCCAGACAGGTGCTTGTGCCGCTGAGCTATATCCCCGGCTGATTGATTTCTTGATAATAGCCATTCTTTCTGAAGTGAGATGGAATCTCAGTGTTTCAATGTATTAACTCTCAAATGACAAATGATGAACCTTTTTTCACATATTATTTGCTGTTTGTACTTCATCTGACAAGCGTCTATTAATTTTAGATGCCTGTTTTTGCACTGGGTATTTAAATTTGGGGGGTCTGATTTTTTTTGAATTCTTTTTATATTCTAGATAATAGTCCTTAGTCTGGGGAATACCTGGCAACTTTTTTTCCCACACTGTGGGTTGTCTCTTCACTCTGTTGGTGGTTTCTCTTGCTGTGCAAAAGCTTTTTAATAAGATGAGACGCCAGTTGTTCATTCTTTGTGATAGGGCCTGTGTGATCCAGGTGTTGTTCATAAAGTTTTTGCTTCAGGAGTTTTACCTATTCTATCTTGCAGCAGATTTAGTGTTTTTGTTTTAATATTTAGAGCTTTGATCCATTTTGATTTTCGTTTACTGCATGATGAAATATATGGGTCTAGTTTTAGTCTTGGGCATGTGAAGCCAATTTTTCCAGCACCATTTATTAAAGAGGCTATCTTTCTGCCAGTGTTTGGCTCCTTTGGCTAAGATAAGGTGGCTGAGTGTGTTTGGAGTTATTTCTTCATCTTCTAATCTGTTCCATTGATCCTCCAGTCTTTGTTTTTGCCAGTATGATGCTGTTTTTATCACGGTAGCTCTGTAGTATAATTGTAAGTCAGGGATCCTGATGCCCCTTGCCTTGCCTTTGTTGCCTGAATTGCCTTTGGTATTCTAGGTCTCTTCTGGTTCCAAATAAATTTTAGGATTATTTTCTTTAATTCTGTGAGATATGTTATTAGAATTTTGATTTGGATTTTGAAAGTATGGCCATTTTTCACTATATTGCTTCTTCCTACCCAAGAACCAGGGGTATCTTTCCATTTTCAGAGATGTCTTCCAGGTATAGCTGGCTTTTGGGTTTTGAGTCTATTGCAAGATCCTGCCTCTTCAGTTTACTGTGGAAGAGAAATTGCTGCCTCCTTGGCCTAGTCCCTGGTTTTTTGACACTGACCCTTATGACCCTTGGGTAGTCTCAGGCTTGTTGTGTGAGGAAGAACAACTGATTAGAACAATTATATCACCTTGGCTAAAGTAGTACAATCAGCAATGAGAGGTATCAAATACAAGCTAGAAAATGACAATCTGTCATAACTATTAATTTGCTACCTTTAACCATATGAACTAAATTTGTGGTTATATAATAAAATCTAAAATGAAGCAGAAAATTGTATATAGTAAATAAGCCCTCAATATGGTGATTTTACCCTCAGGAGAGAAAATTCAAAAAGGGTTAGGTATAAAAACAGATAAATAGAAGAAGAGGAGATTAAAAGTAAGTCTGGAAGACAAAGGAAGATTATACAAACTTTGGAAAACTAGTCAAGAAGTCAGGAGGGAAGGAAGAAATAAAAATAAGAACAGAATAGAACAACAACAACAAAAGAATTAGAAACCATATTCATACTCATAAAAATAAGAACAATCATGAAAAAACAAAACAAAAACAAGAAAAAAAGAAAACCCACTTCAGAGTACGTCTCTGCTGTTACTGGTCAACAGTGTGGGCAGACAGAGCGAGACCCATGTTGATTAATCCCAGCAAGCGAGCAAGCTGTAGCTTTACGGCGGGGTCGTGGATAATCCCAGCAGGCCTGCACCTTCAGTTCCACAGAAGTTCGGGCTGGTTTCTGGCTGTGAGGCTGGAGCCTGATTTGTTTGGCCTGTAACACTGTGTGCTGCTGCTGGCTTGAACTCTGATCCTCCACCTCCCACCAACTTGAACTCAGCAGCCTCACCCTGACACGGGTAGCTGCTAGATGGAGCTGCCCTTAGCTGTTCTGAGCTCAGTTGGCCCCTCTCCAAACTGGCTGCGGGCCAGTCACCCTGTCCTTGGGGACGTCTGAACCGAGTAACTCACCAGCCACTGCAGTCCGCTGTGTCCACTGCTCCGTTCCCCAGGGGCGTCTCTCTGTGGAGGCCTCTGGGTCACCAGTCGTCACTGTGTGTCTGCAGCTTTGAGCCGCCCCATCCGGGCTCGAAGAGAGCGCTGCCGCCACCACCTTCTTCTTCATTGAAGTCTCTCTCTGCGCTCTCCCCACGGGCGTCAGTTCTCACCTCCAGTCCTTCCTGCGTCCCGGGGACCCCCTTCCTCCTTCCCTTCCTCACGTTGCTATATTCCAGCATTGTTATATTCCTCTCGGAGAGGCTGTTTCTCTGCTGTTCACCATTCCACCACCTTCACGAGTCCTCCAGGCAGTTCGTTAGTGCCCTTTGGAGTAGGCTGTTTGCCCTGGAGGAGGCCGTATTAACACCGTAGTTGGGAGGACAGCTCTGGAGCTAACGTCTGGGTTTCTCTGGCTCCGTCATCTTCTGTGTTTGTAATCCAGGGTAGATTTGTAGCAAAGCTTGCCACAGCCTCCTCGTTTATAAAATGTGGATAATAATTTCAGAGATTGATGTGTTTTCCAAGATACTTTTTATGATTTAAGAAGGCCCTTTTTGTCGTAACCTAGAGTCACAAAGATAAATTTGCCAGTAGGGATTAGGTTTAGCTAATTAGAATGTTAAAAAGTACAAACATTGTGAGACCTGGTACAAGAGAGAGAGTTTTTGCTGTCTTCCATTGAAGAGATTGAGAGCTTGAGTCGTATGAAGCCCAGGGCTAAGGATGGCTTCATGCGGATACAAACCCGGACGCCACTCTTGCTGTTCAGGCATTTTTCTCTGCTCTTTTTTTTGTTTTTGGTTTTTCTCTGGTACCAGGAACTGAACTCACGACCTTGCGCTTGCCAGGCAGGCGCTTTGCCGCTGAGCTAAATCCCCAGCCCCTTTTCTCTGCTCTTTCACTCCCAGTCCCAGACGTCTGCCACTCTCACCAGTCAGCTTGGACAATAGCCAACAGGAAAGACGGCCACGGAGAAGAGGTTGTGTTCCCCCAGAAGGGCTCTTCCCAAAGTGGCTCACAGAATGTATGCAGGACGTAATTGGCAATTGTATGGTGAAGAAGTCTGGAAATGTCCCTTTTCTGGCTGGCCATAGACTTAGCTAAGAAGTGAGGGTGCTGCTGGGCCTGTTGGTGCACAACTGCAATCCCAGCACTCGGGGAGGCTGGGGCAGGAGGATTACAAGTGTGTGTTCAGCCCAGGCAACTTCATGACTTAGCAAGACTATGGTTCAAAATAAAAGACAAGAAGGGCTGGGTCTGTAGCTCCGTGTGAAGGCCCTGAGGTCAATCCTCAGTACCTTCAAAAAACAGTAAAGATGAGGGTTCTATTAGAAAATGAGAATGGATATTGGCGTCTGCTGTGCCGTAGTAACTATGCATGTTCATGTCTCTGGTTGAATTCATTTAGGTTATACAGATTTGAAAGAATGAGAACCCAAGTAAAGCTTGTTCTTTGCCAGAAGGGGCGATTTCACTTTGAAGGCTTCATCAGATTATTTGGTACAAGAATATGCCTAAGAAGATCTTACTAAGCAGAACATGGTTATCCCTTCATTGATAGCTCTTTAATGTATTTTTGCATGAGTGCAGCTACTTTTCAGTGACCTGGTTTATCACTTACTTTTTTTCTTAAATTCTTTTTAGCTTCTAAGGGAAATAGAGATAGGAATGAAGGACATTTTGTCTCAGTCACCTCATATATGAAGATATTATGTCATACGTGTTCAATAAAGGGTAGCCCCACTATTATTATATAAATATTATTGCCATAAATATTATACTAAATTTTATTACCAAAGCCCCATACAATTTAAAAATTATCAATGGATTCTGTTTTTCAGTTATTTCAGTAGTGAATGGACTGATAATTTTTGCTCTTTTGCTTTGTTTGAAGTATGAACCTCTGTTACTGTTTTAAATTCTAGTTCTCAATTTTGAACCATATGGACTCTCCTTTTCTTCATCTGGTTTCACTGGACGACAGTCTCCTGCTGGCATTTCTCTTGGTTCAGATATATCTGGGAACAGTGCTGAGACAGGGCTGAAAGAGTAAGTTCCTTTCTTGTTAAAATCGATGACATGGGACTGTTTAAATGTCTTAGCACTCTAGTTGCTTTCATCCATTGCTGAGTTCAGTTACGAGCTAACTGCAGTATTAGGAGGTGAGACCATTTTGGAGGTGGGCTACTGGACTTGTAACCTCGAAGGGTGTGTTCTTCTCACCAGCTCCTCTGATTTTCCTCTTTTGCTGTTGGCGTTTGGCTGCTGTGGGGTAAGCAGCTTTCCTCTACCATGCCTTCCATATGCCGTTTCTCTTTGGAGTCAGCCAAGCATGGCCTGACCCCCCTGGAAACTGTGAGCCGAGTAAACTTCCTCCTTTAAGTTGGGGGTGCTCGGTATTCTGTCCTAGGCGCAGGAAAGGGGACTAATACACTCTCTGGTCATTTCCACACTCCTTTTCCAAGCAGTTCCAAGGACATCTGAATCACATGGGCAGGAGTAATCTCAGTGACCACCCTGCTTCTCTGGTCCTAATTTTCTGTATGGTCAGCTTTCCCACTGCAGGGCCAGAATGCAGGATCCTGGCACTTCCAAGGAGGAGAGGTTTAATTTGGCTCATGAAGTTTTTGCCCTTGGTTGGCTGCTCTGAGGCAGACAGAGCATAGTGGAAAGAACCGGGAAGCAGAGGACAGGGGAGAACCACCGGGGAAGGGTCAGGGATAGGTGAGCCCCGAGTGTCACGGCCTCACGACTCACCAGAAACACACAGGTGCGTGCTGACGCACTGCAGGTTGACAACCGTGTGAACCATCACGAGTGATAATTATAACATTACCACCATTCAGAGTCTGTGTACGTCCAATGAAATTAGTGATTATTTTGAATTGTTTTGGTCAGTAGACTGGTAATGAAAAGGACCCATTCCGTGTAAATGAGTTCTGTCTAAAAGTTCAAGATATTTTGTGTAATAGCAGCATTGTTGGACTACAAGTGATAAAATCTCAAAGGTGGCAGCTTTGAAGGATGACATTTGAATATTAAGTTTCCATATTCATTAAGAAGTCATCTTACTTTCATTATTATATCTGTCCAATGAGATAGTTATAAAAATTCTTATCAGAAGACTGACACAAATAGATTCTGAGAACAGATTAAGTGATAACTTACTCAGTGCCAGGCGCTAAACCCCTCCCTCTTACCCTGTTTTCCCTGCTTTGTTTGCATCTCTGTTTTCTCTGTCGGACATTTAGTTTCAGCGCCCCAGCATGGGAGCAGAGGTGGTTTGTGAGTGCGTGATGGTGAAGAGGACAGCGATTACGTGTCTCAGTCAGGGAACAAAGGAGCAGCGGGGGGAGACAGGAACCCTCCAAACCCAGGGAGAGCTTACACGATATTTTTAAGAAACAGTTTAAACATTTTCATTCCTCCATGTTTGCAGTTCATCATGATTACATTCGCCACGAGGTACTGGTACATGTGCATAACACACCTTCATTCTTTCTGTATCCTCCTGGCCCCCACCCCTTGGTCCCCTCCCATCTGTTCACCTGTACCAGGGGAAGAGCATCTGCCACTTTACACAGGAGCTGCATCTGGGATGGGGTGGGCCTTGCAAGTCCTCCACGACACGTCCTGTCCTTGGAGAACTAGCATTGGCCAAAACGGCTAAGAAGTAGAGTAGTACGTGCTGTTTTATTGTGAGATGGGACTAGAGGGATGAACTTAAAACTTAAAAGAGGGCCACGTGTCACACATTACTTCACATTGGCAGCCTGTGTGGTGATTGGCGAGTGAGTCCGCGTTTGCGGGGAGACAGCTCCTCTCCAGTCTCCCAAGAGGATGGCAGATTAGTAGCAAGCCCCACTTCGCATACCTTTCTCAGGGGAGCCCTTTCCCGTACGGCACCCCACCTCAGGCGGGCATTCCTAGAACTGAGCTGAGGAGCTTCGCTAGTCTTTCCCAGGTTACTTAGTCAGAATTTATGGGTGTGAATAGTCTGATTAAAAACAATACCAAGGCATGATATTCTGTAACAGTCTTGTCAGAATCCAGGCATATATGACTTACATTTTTAAAATGTTCTTTTGCAAAGTTTTGTATCGTTTGGAGGCATACTTTGTTTTTGAGATGGCCTTATGTTGTTCTTTAGCTATTTCCTCACTTTTTAGAATGTCTATATGTAATGTATGATGGGAAATTTATTTTGATAAAAAAGTATGCAGTGAAATCGTAGGGAGAAATCTTTACACTAGCTGGAGGCCCCTTTTGACTCCCTCTCCTGTTTGCCTGCTGATGCTGGCGTTTAGTATGCGGAGGAGGAGGATGAAGGCCGAGGCCGCCCTTGTGATCCACAGCCGAGGAGGGGAGAGCAGGAGGAGGCAGTGCGGCGTGGACTGCCGCCTCTGCCGACCTGGGGGTTGTCCCGAGGTGGAGCAGGCCAAGCGGCTGGAGAGCGCTCTGTAATTCTGCGCTTGGTCCTGGGTGTGGCTCCCCTCGTGAGGCTCGGACTTGGTGTTCAGGAGGCAGCCCCCTGCGTCTGACCGTCCTGGGCCAGGCCGAGGGACAGCATTTCCCACAGCCGGCGGATGTCCTTCATGGACGCGGGGCCTGTGGGGAGCAGCCGGGTCCGCTGCGTGCCCTCCCCGTCTGCAGTGGGCGTTCCAGTCATTTCTCAGTAATGCTTGGGGACTTGCTTTTGTTTTTCTTTTAATAATTGAGTAATTTTGGTTAAAGGAGCAAAGAGGTACTGTCATCCACCCAGCTGTGGATGCTCACAGAGCCCTAGCGGGGCTGCTTTTGAGTACCCTAGAGGGGCTCGGCTCCTTCTAGGGGTCCTGTGACCACTTTTGGACCTGCTTTTGGCAAGGACAAGAAGTTTTCTTCTAAGAGGTTTATTACATAATTGTGTTTTTCTTCAAAAGCATTTTAGAAAACTTTCTTGGTCCCTGAAAGAAAGGGGGAAGTGAAGGTACTTACGAAGGATTTCTTCACAGTAAAGACTGCAAGGAGGAACGAGCCAGTTCCCAGTAGGACTTTCTTTATTAACGTCCAAATTTCCCATCACCCACTCACTACTTTATAGCACGAATGCTGTACTCAGTGTGAAGTATACCTGCCTGTTTGGCCTTATACGAACAGTCGAGTTGATCATGATCCCCACTAGTTAGATGGGGACAATTATCAGTGTAAACACTTTTAAGTTTACCCGGTTAGTAGGGTGGGGTGGGCTTGTACGGGGACTGAGCCCAGGGCCTTGGCACATGCAGAGGCAAGTGCTCCACCACTGAGCCCCACCTGCAGCCCTTCTTATTTTGAGACAGGGTCTTGCTAAACTCGCTCAGGCTAGTCTGTAATTTGTGGTCCTCCTGCCTCGTGGCCTTGACGTAGCTGCGATTACAGGCATATGTGCCATCAGACCCAGCTTGTAGTGTAAATCTAAAAGTGCTATTTTGAACCTTGACAGGAATGCTTAAATGCGCCTATTGGAAGAAGGGCACAGTTTCTCAGTTTTGTTTTTTAGTGACTCTTCTTCCATGCCTCGCAGGTTGATTGAGATATGACAAATAGGTGTATATATTTATGTGTGGTATACAGAATGACATTTTGATATGTATTTACACTGTGAAATGATTACCACAGTTGATCTAAACAGTTTTTATATGAAGACAATGAGACAGTCTTGGGCTGTTTTCGTCCCGTGTTTGTGATTGTGTTAGTCATTCTACATTCATAGCTGCTCACTTTTAAGGTGACATTAGTGAGTGCATGATTTGGTCCTGGAGTTTTTGCCTAGCTGCCTTGTCTTGGCTTTGGGGCTGGCCACTTGGCTCTTAGTACTTTAGCTCTTTTCAATTTAGTTATGAAAAATTCCTAAGCCTCTTGCTTTCTCCCAAAATCTTTTCCTTCCTTCCTTCCTTCCTTCCTTCCTTCCTTCCTTCCTTCCTTCCTTCCTCCCTCCCTTTCGCCTTCCCTCTCCCTCCCTCCCTCTCTCCCTTCTTTCCTTCTTTCTTTTCTACCTCTCCCCCTCTCCCCAACCTCCAGTCATATTAGGGAAAGAGAATAACAAGATTCATTTAGGTACGTTGTGTATCTGTGTGATGTGTTCTCATTATCTTCATCCTCGTTACGTGCCTCTCCCTTCCCTCCCTCATCCCTCAACCTCCTGTCTCCTTCCCCATCTCTGGAAGTCTGCCGCCTAGTTTGCTGTCCTTCCTTCCTTGCTTCCTTCCCTCCTTCCTTCCTTCCTTCCTTCCTTCCTTCCTTCCCTCCTTCCTCTCTCCTTCCCTCTCTTCCTCCCTCCCCCTTTCTTCCCTTCTTTCTTTCTTTCTTTCTTTCTTTGGGTAGATTGCTCGTATAAAATATGTGGTACCCAACTTTTGGAGACTGGCTTGTTTCATTTAACATGATGGTTCCTCTTCCATCTCTACCAGAACCTTTTTTCTTTTTCAGATCAAACCTCATTTCACATTTATTAAAATACATTGATAATAGTTTAAAATGTAGTGTTCATGTTAAAAAAAACCTTCTAGATTAAAAAAACATTTATACATAAGAGTGTATTTGAATGGTTTCTTTTGCTTTCAACAGGATTATATTTAGTGGATTTATGTTTATGAATTATTATTTAATGAACTTAGGGTTTTTGTTGGTTTGTTGTACAGTACTAGGGATTGAACCCAGGGCCTTTGTACTAGATTACATCCCCAGACCTTTATTGATTGATTGATTGATTGTGATGTGATCCCACATGCTGGGCTTGAATTTGCAGTCCTCCTGCCTCGGCTTCCCAGAGTGCTGGGATTACACACGTGCACCACCATCCCCAGCTATGAATTTAGGCTTAATCCTTTTATATTGCTAAGAAACTTGAATCATTTCTGGTCTTTACCCCATCAGAATTAAAGATTTTTTTTTTTTTTTCTAAATCAGTGGAGGAAAGAGACCAATTAATCATAGTTCTATTTTTGTACACCTTATTCAAGCCATTAAATGATCTGTGATTTTTAACTTAGAATTCTGCCACCTTGAAGTCTCTGGCTAGAGGACAGGGTGAGGTTGACTACAACTAAAATACAGGCTGGTGATCTCAGTGTGCTTCTGACGTATGACATGAAGGCAGTCTCCAGAGGCTGTGGGCGGTGATGTGTTTTTAAAGAAGGCCTCAGCAAAGGAACTATTGGGCGGGATTTAAACTGGAATTATCTCTCCATTGATCTCCTTAGGACAAACAGCTTGAAGCTGGAAGGCGTAAAGAAACTCTGGGGGAAGGAGGGCTATCTCCCCAAGAAGGAGAGCAAAGCAGGGGAGGAGATGGAGGCTTCGCCTGCTCCTCTGGAGAACGCGGTGTCAGAGAACATGGACCAAGCTGGAACAAGAAGGGATCAAGCTCCAGTCCTTGCCCAGTCTAAAGAAGAGAAGGAAAAACAGCTGTTGGCGTCGTCATTGTTTGTTGGGCTAGGATCAGAAAGTCAGATCAACTTGGTAGGTAGTTTACTCTTCTGAGAATCTGCATCCCCTGCTTGTGCAGAACGCTGGCTCTTCTTTCAGAAGCTTCTGGCTGCCCTCTGCACACCTGGTGGAAAGTGGCTTCCCAGCTCTTGCCTACTTTCGTGTTCCAGCCGCAGAGCCACCAGTGACGCCCATTCATGTCCTCAAAGGAGAAAATCTGGTCAGCTTGAGCCAGGTCTTCTCCAGCCTGATCGGCTAGGGCAAGGGTCCAGACAGAAGTTACAGTACAGCCAGAGTCCTGCACCCTCAGAGTGCGTGTGACTGTTGGAAAAGTCCCTTCAGTATTGACAGTCAGCAGAATTGGCATTTCTGTGGGATGAGTGTATCCCAAAATGGCATTTTTAGTTGTAAAAAATAGGCATCAGTTTGTTTGCATGTCTAAAGAGAGTGGTGTGTACATTTTCATTATTTAGCCTCTAAAAAATGATCACTGCTATATTATAAATGAAAAATACCTTATTAATGCATGGACCACAAAGTCACAGTTACTATAGATGAACTGAAACAGAGTTTGATCATCTCTGTATTTGAAGGTAGCTTAAACTACTGTGGAAAAATTTTTAAAAGGGTAGGTTTCTCTATTTCTCACTGTTGGGCCGAGGATATAGCTCAGCAGCACCTGTGGCTGCCTGGCAAGCAGGAGGTCCTGAGTTCGATTCCCAGTACCAAAAAAAAAAATCATCACTATTTCTCACTGTTTTTAATTTGTTCAATTCTGTATTTCAGTGTTCTGAAATATAGCAAGTTTTATAATTGTTCATGACTGACTTTTTGACCTATTTCTTTTTCTGATTTTACATGTTTTTAATGAGAAATAAGATTTAGTGAATAGTTCAAACTTATGTAGTTGTCAGAATTTGAGGACTTAACATTTTATGCATCTCTGATTCTGTGTTAATCTTGCTTGATAGATGGAATCTTAACAAGTTAGTAAATTGCTCGTTTGAGAAGAATGTTTAAAACTCATGACTAGTAAAATAATTTCTTTTTATATTATCATATTTTTTTTTATAGCTAGGAAAAGCAGACAACGTCTCTCACAAGTTCAGAAGAAAATCAAAAGTCAAGGAGGCCAAAAGTGGAGAAGCAGCCAGTGCCCGTGATCTGACCTGTTCTTCTCTGCACTCTCCGTCGCATGTGGCTCACGAAGAGAACGATTACTTGACTGCTTTGCAGGACAGAGGAAGCGCAGAAGCAGAGGAATTTCCCCTTGGCTCAGAGCTTTTGGATCCAGAGTCTGTCTCAGAACTGCCTGTGGTTGGGAAGCTCTCCGACTGCGCCCTGTCTGCACCTTCCTTGTTTGCTGATAGTGACATGGAAGTTTTTCACCCTCCTTCGTCTGCTGCAGCTTCTGCATCTGCTGCGGCTCCAGTGACTGCAGAAATCGCCTTAGCCTCTTCCTTTTTGGAAGAAACTACTGAGGACGTGCGTTCAGGTCGTGTGGAGGTCTGTAGTGACGAAACTGTGACCATGTCTTCTTACAAACTCTGGAAGGATGATTGTTTACTGATGGTCTGGTCAGTTGCTACTAAGAGTGGTTCTGAGTTGAAAAGTGCTAACTTAGACATTTTTCCTGCAGAAAATTTCAAGGTAAGACAATGGTTTGTCATTTCTGCTTTTAAGTGGACAGTGGTACTAAGCATTGCTGCTGTTGGCTCTTCTGATATTTATAAGTTCCTTTTGTATCTTTCTTACCTCTTTAAATAACAACAGGTAG